CCAGGCGGGGCGTAGGTAAAATACCTCTCCTAGGGGCTGTTTGTTACAGCAGCACCAACCTCCGTGTTGTGCTTTTTGTTTCTCCTCCCGCCCATGTGTTGCGCGCAGTGGGTGAGGCACCTCAAGGGTTGCTGCTCCTAGACACTGACAACTGAGGAAATTAAATTCTGAGGAGGAATCAGTTAAAAGCCTGAAAAAATCAGTGTTGTTTTTCTATGGCAACTGAAACAACATAATTATTTGAAGGATAAATTTTTATTGCTAATTAATTTTTTTTTTCAAGACCGAAAGGTTTTTTGCATTTTGTTTCTACCAGGGCTCCCCTAAATACATTTCATTTCAGGATTTTTAATTTTGCCTTTTTTTTTTTTTTTTTTTTTTAAAGCAAGTATGAGCAATTGAGTCCAGTAGGACAGTTAGATAAAATCAATGATAAACTGCAGTTCCAGCTTTTGTATAAAGTAATATGCCTTTCAGGTACTTGGCACCATGAGTTTTATTGTTTTGTGCAAGAAGAAAAGTGTTTTATATGGTTATTCATACTTGAGAAAGCTCATCATATTTTTCAAATCCATAGTGGCAAGTCTGGATTTAAAAAATTCAGACAATAGAGCATTTGCTTATAATGTTTAAACAACTCTTTTGACTGTACTACACAAAGTCTTGCATTTTTGTTCATGTGAGCTAATTAAAAGAAAAACTTAGGGTTGGTCTGACCTGAGAGATCCTTACACACACGTTTTGCTTTCTTCTGTCTCTCTTCTTCAAAGTGTCTGTAAATGAAGCGTGGGCAAAAGTACTTACAGAATTGGGTCATACTGTACAAAGTTACTAGAAAAATTAAAAGGATGCCCTAAAAATAAAGGAAAACCTCTGGAAATGCATAATTGCAGTGATTGCCTCTTCTCCCCACTGTTCTGTCTGCCTTTTATATTCCATGGTACATATTAAGTATTATAGAGCACTGATCATTGTTTTACAACAGCATGCTCACTGTTATCACCGGAAGTAGTGATAGCCTTAGTACATGTCTTACAGTCTCAAATGATGTTTCCTTAGGGAGGACAAAATCTTGTTTGGGAGGGAATCACCACTCTGAAGGGGGCTTACAAGGGCGGGGCGGTTGATTATAATGGCAGAAATTGTTGGTACCAGTGTTTAGAATTGTTGTGTATTTTTCATCCTAGGAGAGCATACGTGTATTTACAATGGGGTTTTCTGTTGCATTTTATTAAAAAAAAAAAAAAAAAAAAAAAAAAAAAAAAAAAGAAAGAAAAATAAATCCCACTGAGCTAAAAAGTTTGAAAGAAACAGCTTGAGGAATTTTTTCCATCAAGATACAATCAAGGGCAGGAAATCGTAGAAGCAGAGTTGTGGTTTTGCCTCCATTTTTTTATTAGTTAATTAAACTATAACAACTCTTAACTTCATTTTAGGTTAACTGTTCCTAGAGTTCAGAAATATTTTAAGAGGTCAATAATGCTTTCTTTGGCTTTCGCTCATTCGGTGTGGGATGAGGAGTGGCAGTCGGCAGGGCAGAGGTTTCCAGATGTGCTGCAGAGCGTGTGTGCCTGCGCTCATGCCGACCGTTGTTGACGGTGGGAAACCATCCATCGTTCCCCATCTGCGCGCCACCCGCTACGCATGGAAGCCACGGGAAAGAAACGTGGACAGCCTGGCATCTGTAAGCGGACCTACAGTATCTCCTTAAAGCTCAGGAGCCCTGAGTACTTGTAGCTACCAGCTCACATGCATCCCTGCTCGCCGACGGAGAGGGGACAAGGCGCAGTGAGAGTTCTGGGGGAGGGGGAACCCAAACAGAAAAATCTGAGGTGCTAGGTGTGTGTTCAGTTTCACCAGAAGCCAAAAAAAAAAAAAACCAAAAAAAAACTTAGACCTCACTGTCCACTGCAGCAGGGGTTTTCTCTGGGAAGCTGGGACGTTTCTTTTTTAAAGCGCCTCGAGGCATCCCTCCGCATTTTCAGAGGCGTGCACTTAAAGGTCATGTGAGGGAAGCAGGGAGAGCCATGCCAAGTGTCACATAACTGTCTTTAATAACGGGAGCTATTCCAGCACTCGGAGCCAAATCATCTTTCAGCAGAAAGGATAAAACTGAGCAGAGCTGGGAAAGGGAGAGAAGAAAGGGGAGGGGAAACACAGCACCACCTCCTGCTGACACCACAGAAGTTTCCCTCTCTCTCCCTCTGTGCATATATTTTCTTTTTAATCAACTGGGGCTCTTCCCTCCCCTGCTTTCCTTTTTTAACTGTAGTTTTATAGTTGGAATTCTGCTTTCCTAATTTCTCTTGTTTCACATTTAACTTCCTCAGAAGACTTCATTAATAGTTTTTGCAATTAAAAATAATAAATAAACTCAGCACCAGCTGCTCGAGCGGCTGTCGTGGCATATCTGGAACATAGCGCGGTCTGTTCAGGGCAGCCACACAATGCAATTTATCCCCACACCTGAGGGAATGAATTTCACAACTATAATTGCTACAATATAATTCTTATTAATGTTGTGCTATAATTCCTATTAATTCCAAAGGGCTAGTAAATGCATTAGGACTTGTCAACATATTATTTTACACTGTTTATGATCTGTAGAATTGCGCTCTTCAGTATTGTGTTGCATAAAGAAAAGCCTTAAAGTTAGCTTTAATTGTAGGGGTGCAGGGGGAACCCCATGTTTTCTGTTTGGGCGCTGGGAAGGACAGAAGGATCCTGGCATTTGAGGAGTAATGAAACTGCATTTTAAAATCAGTTCTTTGAACTTTCTGTGCCACGCCATTAACGGTTTATGAAGATATATTAACAATGCCCGTCCTGGTTGTTAGAAAAAGAACCACTGGTATCTTTATGAAGGAATAAATAACCATAAGAAAGATAGGTTTATAAAATTAAAAATAACTGTCTTCGAGAAAAGACAGAAGTGGGGAAATTGCGAGTCACTGTAACTGATGCAGTAAATGCAGAGCGCGTTATCTTGCTGCGCTGTTACTTATTCTTGTTTTATCTCACTACCTTGCTCTTCTAGGTAGTGAATATGATGAGGAGGAAGTAGACTATGAAGAATCAGACAGTGATGAGTCCTGGACTACAGAAAGTGCCATCAGCTCTGAAGCTATCCTTAGTTCAATGTGCATGAATGGAGGGGATGAGAAACCTTTTGCCTGTCCTGTTCCTGGATGTAAAAAAAGATATAAGGTAAGTGGTGGTGCAGACCTACCTTATTTTCTGCTGGTGTAGTGTTGGGGGGAAGCCTCTAAAATCAATTTGTACCTTTCTCTTTTTAATAGAGATTTTTCATATTTATTTTTCTGGTATTTTAGCAGACTACATATTTTATTCTCTTATTTCCTCTCAGACACAGCCAGGTTACCAGTTTTACAAAGGATGTAGCCTTTTACATCCTTGTCAAGAGAGGGTATATGTAGTGATTCTATTGTTTTAAACATTTTAACTAACTTTCAATTATTTAGACAAATAAACTGCAGAATGCATGAGGTACTACCAGCAAAACGATCTCTTGGGTCCCTTTCAGAAACACTAAATAAAAAGCTCCTGCCCGTCAGTGCCAGAATGAATTCCTTCTGTGTCACAGCCAGAGGTACTGCCTCTACGTTATTAAGGCTGTGCCCAGGGTACTTTTTCTGCTCAGGGTGATGGGTGGAAGGTGGTGGTTGACATTCTGAAAGTCAGAGGTCACCTCAGAAAGGCAAGAGCATCAGAGAAATGACATGGTGTTGTGAGGAGTATTGCTTCACATGAACCAGTGCAGAGACAGATGAAATTGTGTAGAACAGCTTGGACTTCAGCATGGTATCCTATAGCTATTGGCATTTGGGAAGAGAAACGGCATGTTGCCACAATTCCTCTAAATCATTCTCTGAAGTGTTTGCATGTAGTACTGGAAGATTCAACCACTGGCTTTTACCCTAGAAAATTTTGTGGTGGATGGGTTGGCTTTATACCAGTTTCATTTTATGGCTTCTCCTTTAAATAACTGAAAAGTATTCTATATATATGTAGAACAGAAGTACAGAATAAAAATATAGGAAGACCAGTAACATTTGAGATAAAATAATTAATTGTGACAAGAATGAATAAACTGTGTGTGAAACTGTGCAGGAGAGAAAGACGTGTTTCAGTGACACTGCAGCTTCTCCAGCCTGTGGCAGCTCCTGTGGCAGCATGTCACTCGGCTCAGATTCCCACACAGATCCAGGAGTACTGACAGCACTGATGTGGAACATGAACAAGAAAGTGTGCTCACTTCTCACTCACTTCTCAGTGGCATACAAGTCTATTTTTGCAGTGACTAGCCTTAACTGTGTCATGTCTCTTCAGTTACAGGAAAAACCGAACACCATCTCCAGGGGTAGGGCAGAGGGAAAGGTGTTTTCAGACTATTTACAAGTATTACTTTGCAGATATACCCACAGTATTCAAGATTAATGTTTTTTCTTGTGTATGGCAGAAGCTGTGCCAGATGAAGGCAGTAGCATAAAAGCTAAATCCCTAGCTCAGGAAGCAGACAAGCCGTGCTGATCATTAGAAGTCGCTGTGCCCACAGGGCATCCATGCATTGCAGAAAGCATTCCCTTAATGGCCAAGGCTAGAAGGAGAGCCCTGTAATTTGCTATATCCTGTCTGTTCTATGTTTGACTGCCAGCCCTCTGTCTTTTTATTGCCCAAATAAGAGAGCTGTTTCTGCTTGCTTCTGCTGCTATCTCACTACATCCATCTGAGTTGTGCAAGGACCGTCTCGGGGATATCTTGTACACCGTTAATGTTAGAACAGTTGGACAGGGAGCAAATTAACGACCCTCGGAGAGGCTGACAGACAGAGAGCAGCAGCACATAAAAAGTGCTGTATTTTCCTGAGAGACTCACCTCTGTTCAGTCCCGATAGGAAAACACGTTTCCTTCAACTCTGCCACACCTCATTTCTCTTTTCTGTGGGCTCTGTTTCCTTCCTTTTTTCTTTTCAGCTTAGTTTTTTCCTTTTACATTTTATCTGTTTCCTTCCTTATAGCTTTGTGCCAGCTGTGTTTCTTGTTTCCTCTTCATCTTCCTTCTGCTTAACCCCCTCTGATGAATTATTTGCGGAGTCTGGGTAGGGAGTCCTGTGATCAAAGCCCTGGGATTTTCTGGTGGGTACTGGATAATCACCATCAGGGCTGTAAAACAATTACAGTGCTCCAAACAGGAACAGGGGCATGCACGTACAGTAATTGCCAGGCTCGCTTTACGGCTGAGAAAGGAGCATTCCTTTCGGGAGCGAGGCGGAAACGGGGATATATACACAGTCTTCTTTTGTCTGGCCTTAGGTGACGTACATTTGAGAAGCAGAAACATTATTTTTAGATGTGTTATTTGTCTTACGGTACCGCTTAAAGGACACAGTAGGGCTGGGGCTTCTTTTTGCAAACAATGTACAAGGATAAAAGATGGCCTCTGCACTGAAAAGTCATTATGGAAAGGTAAATAAGAGGAGAATGAGTACAACGAATACTCCCAAGGAACGGGCTGGGGCGGACAATGGAAACTGCCATGAGAACATGTTTATACACAAGCCCAGATGAGTATCAGAAGACCCTACTGGCCTCCTGCCCGGCAGCTATCTCTTGGTGGTTTCCCATAGGCAGCGCAGTAGAAGTGAGTCATAAACATTCAGTTGTTCTTTAGCAACTTTATTTTTTAAAAAAATAAAATTGCTTGCTTGTAACATATATATTAGTACTCTGTACTGTATGGCACAGATTTTCTTGAGGAGATGAAGGTTCTGGGGGAAAAACCCACACCTCTTTTAATGATACGTAAATCTATTTGTGGGATAGGCAGAAACAGCTAAATTAATTTGGAGCACACTGACTTCTATATGCTTAAAACACGAGCCTCTGAACTCTTTTCAGAAGCTTGCCTTCTTCTTCTCTGATTATGGTTACTGACCTAAAGAAGAAATTGTGAGTATTTTATATTTTGCCATTTATAGATTTTTCTTTCTTCAGATGCTTTGTATTTTATTTTGAGAATAACCTGAATGATTCAAAGGAACCTAGTGGTCTTAATCTTGTTTCTGTGGAGTTCACCCTCACCAGATTTTTAGATCTGCATTTAGGTGCCCTGTCTGGAAGTGTGGGGGTATTGAGTAGTGGCCATGCTTTGCAAAATGCCACCTGTAGGAGCTAAAGTGTGGATTTATGAACATGACAATTGATTTTCCTTTTATTAGACACCACCTACATGTGCCAACTATTTGGTCTCTAGCTCTGGAGAGGGACGTTCAAAATGTGTATATGATGTAGATAAACTTATTCAGGCAACTTCCAAAGAGCCAATGAGGTATGGTATCTAATAGATACCAAAAAATGCACAAATAATGTGTAGATGCTGTTATAGAGAAAACCCTAGAGCATTTGTCCTAAGTTTTCTGGTTTGTGCAAATGCAATAATAAAAGAATAACAGATTTCCATGCATAGGACATGTTGCTTACATACATGACTGCTTTGTGGCCTTGGGCAAGAGGAGAAGTGGTACCTTCTGAGCATGCCATGGCATTGGGCTTGTCTTTCTGGTGGGTAGTGGGGCAAGGGTGCTAGGGTGGGGCACGCCCCCTCCCCCCCACCCCTCCCCCCCCCCGAAGCTGATCTAAGAGCAGTGGGAGTCAGCAGAGCTTAGGAAGGGAGGATATCAAAGGGAGAGAGGGAAAGAACGGAATTTACTTGAAAGGAAGGAGCAAGCCAGAGCTTGCAAGTTGAGCAGAGAGGACCTGGGCCCGCAAAGAAAGCTTCAGGAGGAACAGCCAAGAGATACAAAAAGATACACAGATGTCCAAGTCTGAAACAAGAAATCCTCCCAAACTGTCCTCGATGCCCCTTCTACTTGAAGGGGGTGGCTTCACAAGTGCTGCTGTACAAGGGGCCCTGCCCAGCAAGTGCCCTTGTGTCCATGCAAACCAGGTAGCCCAGTCTGAACTTCTCTGTCTCCTCCTGATCTGGTCCCATGTTAATGATTGTTTCCTCCTGTTTAAGTTTTTAGAGTGCCCTTCTATACAGCCATCTTCTTCCTCAATCATTTGTGAGAGTAAATAATGAGCAACCTAAGTAACCAGAGCAATAAAAGTGATGTATGGGTTTGGCAGCAGGTTTTGCCGTAGCTCAACAAACCCAGCCCAGACATACAACAAAGTGTTTACAGCACAGCAGTGGAAAAACTGCTGAAGAACAGACTGGAATTCTAAGAAGAGTTTTCTTCTAGACAGGAGTACAGGTCAAACTTCATGTCATACTAGCTCCTCATGCTCTGCTTGGTTTCCTATTCTGCAAACCTTCCATGGTCCAGTTATTCTGTGTAGGTTTCTGATTTAGCATTTCCCTAAATTTCTCTGCCTGAAAGTGCTTTTCCCCACCATCGAATCACATGGTGTATCCGAGGGCCAGGGGATCATGAAAAAATCTGGATCAGCAGAAGAGTACCAGAGACCTGGAACAGTGAGGATACCTGTGATGGCAGATACATGGCATCTGTAGCATTTGATACTAGGTTTAAAGTATCTTAAAATGATTTCTTACTAAAATTAAAAGTCCAAGCAGGTTTCTGTAACTTCCAAACTATATATAGGGTTTGGGGATAACTTTGGTTTTAAAATCTCACTGCAGTAGCAAGTTCAGCAGATCACCCCCAGATTTTCTCTTCTTTGGAGGCGCAGGTCCTGAATGGTACTTAGATGTTGACAGATGCCTTATGACAGTGCACGTGCCATCCGGTGACATTCCCAGCCTGCTCACCCCTGCGGGTGCTGAAGGTTGTGACAATGTGCAAAACCATCTAAAAGCTGCCTCAGAATCTCAGGTAGCTTGCAGGGAATTCACTTGACTACTCTCGAGGGTGATTTGTAGCTTTGAGGTGCTCTGGTGTGTCTGGGGGGTACGGCGTTCTGCTGCCTCTGAATACCCTTCACCCAGAAGTAACCTGCACTAAAGGCTCCTATTTTCAGTCTCCAGTACAAACTGGAGATACAGATTCATGTCTCCCACATCTAGGGTGAGAGCTGAGCAAGCATTGTGCGGTATTTTTAAGGGTGTAAAGGACAATTTGGGGTTTGGATTCCCAAGTTCAGGTGAGGAGTCAGTGCCTGGATACACTGGAGGATAGAAGCATGAATTTGTGGGCAGAGCAATTGCTTGCAGTCGAGCTCCATACCCTTTTCCAGGGTGGATATTTTAGGCTGTTTTTCTTTCTGCAGGATTTCCACAAACGAACCTCTCTGGGTTGGCCCTAGGGTGCCACTCGAGCAGTACAGCCTGCCCTGGGCACCACCGGTTTTGGCAAGAACAATACCACACTCAACTTTATCGTCAGAACTGGAGAACCGTTCTTACTTGAAGATCAAAACCAGGTTGCTGCCATGGCGTAGTTCCCTGTGGTGAGGGCGGCCCAGCCCTGTGCAGAGTGGGGCGAGGACACCGCGGCCGTCGGGTGCTGGGCGGTTTCTCCGCCATTACACTTCTCCCCCCTTCCCTGACACTGCTGTTTTGTTTTTTTTTTTTTAAAAAAAAAACAAATTATCTGATTTGTCTAATTGCTCTGAGTTCCAAGCTGGAGCTTCCCACTCTACTGCAAGCTGCGTGTTAATAAACCTGAACTTGTTGCTTAAAGAGCTGGGGGGACTTTGGTTACATGTAACACCAGGCAGTGTTTCAGCAAAGACAAAACCCCTGAAACTTTAGTGGATTAATTAATATTCAGGCTGTTACTTGAGTTTAGCTTTTTAAAAATACATTTCAAAAACCATGGAGATACGTATCTGGAAACTTGAGAAAGCCTCAGTGCTGTAGCTTCTTGTCACAGATTGTCTTGGCGCCTTCTTTGGTTTCTTCCTAGGAGAAGCTCTCATGAAAGACAGTTTGCCTTTCCCTATTTATCCAAAAATCTGCTCTGTAAGAGGAAGGCTCCAGTAAGACGAGTCCTACATAAAGTAGTATCACAGCAGCTGGTGTGACCATAACAGCTTCTTCCATTTTTGCCAGAAATACGTGAAAAGGAGGACAGGGCTTTGATTTATATTTAGTGAGGTTCTGGATTAACCTAGCCAAGGTGCTGCCCACACTGGTCTGAGGGTGAGTGCTGTGGTGCTGCAGCCTTTTTCTTCTTTCTGTCTAATCTACAGTGGAGATCAGTTCCCTGGTTTTAGCTGTAGAATGTTCCCAAACAATAGCTATTTTGCACATGGCTTCTCTGCATTATTTTCTGAGTGCCCTGTGTAACTCTTCTAAGCATTCCATGCAGTTAATTCTTTGGAGACAATGTGTAAACTATCAGAACTTGCAGGAGCCTAAAGACATATCTAGAGACAATGACACAAAATGGAACAACACACCACGGCACGGGGGGGCTTTGGCTTTTCGAAGAAGTGTGACTCGACTCTTCATGCCAATTCTTTGTTTGCTTGTAAATGAACCTCTGAATAAAGTTTGTCAGCACTACATGAAAAAAAAAACATCATGAAGGAAGGAACATCCACGTGTGAGCCCATTGTGCATGCTGTATGTTGGGAGGTAGAAATCAGAGTTACCCAGGTAGATGAGTTTCCTGCATTGGAACCATGCAGATTGTTCTTGTCCCACCTCAAAAGTGGCACACCCAGCAGGGCTTCCGAGAGACTTCTGTGCTTTTGCCCACAATGTGAATGCATTTCCAGTTTTACCTGGAAGTTAAGCCCTTCTCAGGCTGCTCGACCACTAACGCTTCCCTTTCTCTCTGGCAGAATGTGAACGGTATCAAGTACCACGCCAAGAACGGCCACAGGACGCAAATCCGCGTGCGCAAACCCTTCAAATGTCGCTGCGGAAAGAGTTACAAGACAGCTCAGGGCCTGCGGCACCACACAATCAATTTCCACCCTCCCGTGTCTGCTGAGATCATCAGGAAGATGCAGCAATAACATGCTGGTCACAAACGTGCCAAGAAACCCTCACCAGCAGTTGCTGATTTTGAGAACAGCCACCTTTTTCAGGGGAAGCATTCAGCAACCCTTTAAAGTTAAATGCATGCTTTAAAATTTTCTGTAATTTTGGAATGACGTATCTTTGTAGAGTTAATGATTTTGTACATTTGCACATGTAATCATCATACCCCATTTTCATTACTTTGAGATAAGGTGCTATAAAAGCTATAGGTTCTTCAGAACATTTTTCTCCAAAAGAAAAACAAAAAAAAAACCCACAAAAAAAACAAACAGAAAACCCAGGGGGTGGGGGGGACGTTGTTGCATATTTAGCTGTACTGGAGAGCTGAGTAGGGGCGAGAGAGGAGGGAGGAGCGCTTGGCACCGAGACCCTTGCCAGATTGTAACGTGGTGAAGACTTTTGATGCATCTGTCACTGTGTGTGCAAAACCAAAACAACACCACCCTTGTCAGACTCTAGTTAACATGCCTTACATAACGGAGTTATCAGTGGAGTAGCAAGTCTTGTAGGTAACGGAAATATAAATAAGAAAGAATGTTTAACATAATATGCTAAAAATATTTTCATACTTAAATAACATACATAAAAAGGTGTGCTTGCTGTATTTTATATTATCTTGCAAATCTTTTTTTTTCCTCCCTCTTGAAATGCTGAAAATCTTGCCATTCGAACTATCGATCACTTTAGTGTTAGAAATTGCTATTTTTTTTTGTACAAGGTGTCATTTTATGTTCACACCCATCAAACTTTTGAGGACCAATATCCCAGTCCAACTAAATACTTACTTACCCCTGAACTGTTAGAAAGACACTTGGAAATACTTAAGTGCAAATTTATGTGTGTGTGAGAAACGATTATCTTCATCTCAGATGAAGGTTTAAAGCACTTTGTAGTTCTCTATTGCCAACAGATTTAATGTTTTATGTGTTGCCAATTCTTGCAACGACTGCACGAGCGCGGGCCCGTGGTTGCAAATAAAAATTGAAAGCTCTGCGTGCGGTGTGAGGAGGTCCGTTAGTTGCGCTAAGGGAGTTTCCGATGCCTCTCCCTCACATTCATCGTAGCTTGAGGTTTTCTTTTGTGCATTTTTTGCTTCTCATCGTAGGTCACCGCATTCCATTTGGGAGTGGCTGTTTAGCTTTACGATTCATATTGCCGCTATGAGACATACATACAAGCCTTACTGAAGATTAAGTGCTTCTTGCAGCAGGTGGTTGGAGACTGACTTAAAAAAACTAAAGCAAACATGAGGGCGCTTCATGTCTGGACCCTACCTGGGCATGTGTTGCTTCCCATCCTGCCTTGAGCGTTCTTCTCTCACAAGTGCTATTCTCGGAGCGCAGCTGGGCAGGGGCAGAGGGGGGCACTCAGCACCCCCAGCCCCAGCCCGGGGCAGTTCCCACATGGGGAGTGTTAGGGTGGAACGCACTGTGTCCAACGGTCATCGCCTTTGCTTAGTTCCTGTTAAGTGCAAAAGAAAGCTCAAAGAGCAGAAGAATGAGCTTTCCCTCTTTCTTTTTTTTTTTTTTTTGTTTTCATTCCAAAGCTTTAAAGCAAAACGTTGTAAGGATGACAGTAACCTCTTCTCCAGCAGAGTAAAGCACTCGCTGAGGCAGCAGCCTGACGCGGGAGCGTTGTGAATGACGCGTCATTTCTCAAAGGGCAGGGAGGTGCCGGCGCGGGCACCGTGCCGCCCTGCCAGCCGGGCTCAAGGGGTGATCCAGACAGGAGAGGTTCTGGGGGACACACACAGGGCCCCAGGCAGCCGCTTCACACCGTCAGCAGCTGGCAACAGACCTGGCCAACAAACAGGTTCTGGCTGTGCTCCTAGTGCAAGAAACTACAGGCTGGGTAAGTTCATTAAACAGCTAAACAGTCGTAAAACGTCATTGTTGCATGTAGATTCCTTTCAACTATAAAAATGAAACTCCAGTTTCTATTTACCTATTCATCGTGACAGTATTATTAAACAGGTAAAGATGGGACTATTTTGTTATACTGTGTATAGTGAATGTATTGTACTGTGTCTGTGAAAAGTGTGCTTTAAATTATATTTTCATATGTTTTGTTGGGGACAAAGTACTTTAAGTTTGAAAGTGACAGAGGTTTGTTTTAGAACTGAAGGCAACTTAAAGAATTCCTGTCAAGAAAGCTGCTTATAAATGTAAATCAAATCACATTTAAAATAAACTGCCTCTGACTTAAAAAGTTTGTTCCTCACTCCTTACTAGCCTAAAAAGTTCTTGGGCTGTGTACAGTCTTCTATTTGTATATTTTACCTCAGTAAAACTGGGAAACTATTTTGGTAATTCCCCAAATATAAACACATCTGAGAGAGGTCCCTGCTTGGGCACAATCGGGTTTTGAGGTTTTCCTGCCTGTGTGGGATACGAACCTCTGAGACTTCCTAAATCTTTAATAATATGATAACTAATAATATTTTAATTTCATAGCCTGCTTTTTTCATAAGCTGTTGAGTCACAGCACAACAAAAATGGACAAAATGTTCTTTCAGTACCTCCAGGCCTTACCTCAGACCCTCTCTTGACATGATGTTCACAGTTGGAAGCATCTAAGACCTGAAATGGAACACAAGGCCTGACGGAGCGAGCAGCTGCTACCCAAGACACTCTCTGCGTCACGCAGTTTTTAATAGGTCCTGCCCTGAACAGGACACTGCACGTGCTCGTGGGAGAACCACAGACAACAGAAGCTACTCACATCGTTAGTCCTCGAGTCTCCCCCTCAAACAAAGAGCATAAACAGACCTGAGCAACAGTGTCTTTGACATACAAAGCTGAAACGTCCTCTAAGCAGTGGAAAAAAAGCAACACTGACTCCAGGAATAATTTTGCTTTTAATGGTAACAAGACTACTGTACAACAAGTGGAAAGCAAATCGACTTAATACAGTTAAAGTAAATATAAAATGTTTAGATATACACACATTTTTACTTACTGAAAGAACTATGTAAAATTAAAATGCAGAAAGTTTTTAAAGCCCAAAGTCAAAAAGAACACAATTCACTGTTGTGAAAACAGAATGGTGTTTTCTACTGAACGCAACTGCAACGTAATGGCAATGATATTTTTAAACAATTACTTTTAGTCATTGAACCACAACAGTTTCTTTCAACTCAGAAATACCACCTCAAGGTGTAACGAACTTCCTTGAGCATCACCTCTCAAGGCAAACAGTCTATATGCAAAATCCGAAGTGTTTGCCATTCCTTTTGGTGCAAGCACGTAATCTCCCCGTACATGCATCTACATTTCTGAAACTTACCAGAAATCTGTATTTTCATAGGGCAAGTAATGTAACTTTCCAATTTAACTGTTACTCAAAGGAAAACTACACAAATTTGCTAGGAGAAACATCTGTTTATTACATTTTTAATCGTGCCTTAGTTATCATGATCAAGAAAAACCACAGGTGTTCTGGTGTTTTTTTCTCTTTGTGTAGCTGAAAAACATCATGAAGCCGATCTCCTTTTTTCTGAGACTAAGTCATTCCCACGTCCTTACAAATTGTGCTAACTCAGGGAATAAACGGCTACGTACACAACAAGGTCGGGGGCTTTGTGGGGTTTTTTAGTATGATGTTAGGCAGAGAGAGAAGAGAACCCAACAGCAGCTTAGAGCCACAAGGTGCCACGGCTCCCGTTAGAGTACATCAGCATTTATCAGAAGTTTGCTTGGTTACAGGAAAGCCACACTGGTTTTATTCCGTGGGTGGACTACTCAAAGGTTTATTTTAAGCTACACTGCAAACCAAAGGATTTAATCAAAATTTAATACGTTCTGATCAAAGTGTGTCTGAACGTGCCTCTCAAACCCTTGCTGGTCATAGTCGGGCGGGAACTGCTCACTGCACATGGGGCACACCTTCCAGTGGCTCTCAACGTGCTCCTCAAACTTGCTCTGATCGTAGTTGGGGGGAAACATCACATCGCAAAGAGGACACTTCTTGTGCACGTCAAAGCTTCACGAGGAGGTGGAGAGAAAGAAAAAGGGAAAAAAGTCAGTTAATCTGTTACTGCAAAATAAAGGGAGGAACCTGCTGCTACTAACTTAAGAACTTTACTACAAGCTTAAATTTGAGCAGACTTTATCACACACTTCATTTCAACTTCTTTGTTGACAGTGCTCAATACAGCTGAAGTAGTTTTACACAGGATTTCCAAACTAATCTGGCATTTTAAAAGCAACATAGTTTTGACATAATTCCAGCTACCACTGAATACAAATCTACTGAATGTCTTAATGGCCAAGCAGTTCCACAGGAACCCGCTCTCCCTGCTCATAAATGCTTGCTCTTAGCAAACATAACACTTTATAAAAGCTCTAAACTCAGGTTCACAATTAGGTTGGAAAGAGAGAGGGAAAACACCCCAAAGTTACTCATTTACCAAAGAAATTGTCCACATGCTGTCAAAACAAGGTCCAGCACAAACACTGTACCCAGCCTCACAGCGTGTTCTCCAAGATTTAACTGTAAACCAAACGTTCCCTGACAGTGCTCAGTAGTTTTTCCCCTTACCCTTGAGTAAAACAGTCCAGTTATACAGAAACCCATCTGTGCCAGTACAGAACAATAAAGGATCACATTTACCTGGAATCAAAGCAGAAACCTGTTCCATGCTCATGCAAGAGAAGACTTGGAGGATCAGGAGCAGAAGGTACAGCGTTGTCATCATCCTATTAAAACAGGAAGTATTTTAAATAACACTCACTAGAAATAACTTTTCTTTTTCCTTCCCCTCCTCCAATTTAGTTTTGCTTGTCAAGCCGAAACACCACGAAATTTACCTTTAATTTTATAATCCCCGCAGCATACGTTTTGTTTAAGGAAGTTACACACCAAACCCAGACGGGGTTCTGCTGGGTCCCCAAAGCAGAAGCCTGTGCCTGTGTTGCCAGGAGGCTTCTGCTGGCACCGTAACAGGGCAGTGCGGGTCACCTCGCCAGCAGTGCCCGGGGGCTATGTCACAACAGGACCCCCCATGAAACGGAGCACAGGGCACCCCCCACAAACTGTCACTGCGTTGTGTCGCCAGCCAGGACTTGGGAATAAACTCTACACAACAATGTCGCATCAGACTTAAAAAAACCTGACTACTTATATATCAATAATGGCCAAAATGGCCCATTTCGAGCCATGTGCTGGTCTCCCAGCTGTCATTTCTGAGTGATGTTCTGAGGCTGCTCTCTGCAACTTGGCTTGGCTCTGTTCTGCAGTAAGGCAATGCAGCACAAAACCTCACTGCAAGGTGGGAGGGAGTACAGGTAAGTTCAGCAAGATTTTTGAGAACTCCCAACTCCTTGATCATTTTCCTTTCCATCTCAAAGATGCCTTACACACAAGAATTATGAGTCAGCTGATCTTCAAAAACAGGTGTGCAAGGGACCTTATATAGCAGCATACCTGTTGGATTTTTTATACAGATAACAAGTATGTGCAGTCAAACAGCTCTCATTTTTAGGCTTACATACTTCCTCCTTATGAAAATAGAAACAGGGCAGGATGGGAAAATCCCCCTCAATATTTTTCTCCTCTTGACAACAGCTGTCTAGTTCCAACCATTTCCCACTCCCACTAAGCAGACAGTGGGGCTTGCTGTGACAGATGCCAGCAACAGACACCCCGTCCCGGTCTGACCTGCCTGCTTTGCACCTGCAGGAATAAGGGCATCTGGGGTTTAAAGTATTATTTGTTCCTTTTGTCACAAAAGGGATTTAACATTTAAATCCTCAGAAAATACATTCTTGTAATTCTTTACAGTTTGGCACTCAGTTACTTCTGGAACGCAGGGCGGTTTTTGTTGCAGTACTTAGGAGTATTTGGTTACAAAATATGAGGTGCTTGTCTGGGGAAAGGGCTCCTCAGCCTCAAATTCCTCGAGCAAGCTTTATTTAGGACAACTCAGCAAACCCAATGACAAATGCATAGGTTGCCCATCATATTAAGGGTTATTATTAACTGTAGTTGAGTAAGGGAGTCAGGATCTACCAATGCCAAGTGCTGACTTTGTATAGAAGGGCGATAACCTGTTACGTGGCTGATGTGCCACAGATGGGGCTCGTGCCCTGTTCAGCACTACTTTAATGTGTTCAACAAGCCCCAACTTTCAGAAAGAGTCTTCACGCAGACCTGAAAGTAGCCTGCGGCCCATATGCCCAACTGTGCCAGCTCGGGCCTCCCCACTGCCGAGGCAGCCCCTCTGCCCCACGCGCGCTGGGACGGGCGCCGCAGGAAGCTGCCCGGCACGCGCAGCCTGCTCCTCCAGCGCCCTGCTCCAGCAGGAGTCATCTTGCTCAACATCACTTTTTTAAAAATTTTTTTAAAAAATTACCAGTGCCTATCCACCTTATATAAAATTTTAATAGGTTGTTTTGGGTGGGTTTTTCACCTTACTAAGGTTAATTTAATTATTTGTTTAGTATTTCGCTCTTCCCCACACCCCCGCTTTCTTTAAAAAACATTTAGGTTACTGCTAGTCACTTGGCAAGATAACACTGGTTAAATCTTTTGTCCTCTGCATAGGCACACAGCCTGCACTGCTTCCTTGTAGGCACAGGCTTTGATAAAAGGCAAATGCAAGTTTTTAATTTATTTTTTTTTAAAAAAAAGGCTTTTCTGATCTCAAAGTAACATGAGGTTTGGCACATCCCAAGGACGGAGCTGTCTCATGACCTAGTTCAAACAGATATATAAAAAAAAAAAAAAAAAAATCACACTTATCGTAGCTTCTGACCTGTGCTCCACCTAAGCATGGCAATACCAAATCTGTACTGGTTATCAGGCTGTTCAGATGTAGAAAGTGGTGTATCTTCAGTGGACTCTTGCTCTTGGCCAAGTATGTCAAGAAAGTTCAGTTCTGAAGCTACTCTTAAACCCAACCAAGAGTGCCAGTCTCCACTGGGCATGCCTCAAAGCATGTATTACAGGCACTGCTGTAAAATTACAGAGTGGTCTGGCAGGAACAATGAGACATCCTCTTACTCTGAGCATATTTCACAGCTACTCTGATGACAAGTTACAGTGAGCAGCACACAATCACCAGTAAGTAAAAATTCTCTTGCGCTGCCCTGGGGTAACTTGGAACTTCTGGAAAACACAGAAAGTGTCCCATTGTACTAGACTCTGACAGCTGCCTACTTCTGCCATTTCAGATGGACAGTCATTTCAGATGGACAAGAGTCCTGCAGTGGATCACTCAGAACTCCATGAAGCCAGGACAGGTTCTTACTCATCTTGGTTCACCATCACTTGGTGCCCAGCTCCAGCTAGTATCACCCATGACACATTCTTTATTCCTGTAGATGATATTACATAAGCTTTTCAACCTGACATTTCAAAACCGGTCACTTTCCCATGCTAAAAAAAACCCACATCCCCTGGAGACTCAAAACCCCAAATGGTTGAAGCTGCTTTACAGAAAGAGTCTGACAGTAACTGCGGGGAGGCCAGGCCTCGATGGCTCAGCCCCCGCTGTATTTTAAGCGCAGCCATCAGCTGACACTCAACACCCCATGGCCACGTTATCCAAGTTATTTGGACAGAAGCCCATGCTCCCGACTGATGCTGAGAGACACGGCCGCACATGCACAGTATATACAGTCTGAGACCTCTGCAGTGCCCTGCAGGGATGTAATGCAGTTGATACGGGGCCTCAGGTCCTTCTGAAAAGTCTGATACCAGGTACCCACAGGCTGCAGTGTGGTTCGGTAGCGTAACAGGTGCCAGGACATCTGAATTCACAAGTTTGCATCACAGAACCATTAAGGTTGAAAAAGACCTCTAAGATCAAGTCCAACCATCCACCCAACACTACCACGTCAACAAAACCATGTCATGCAGTACCAAGTCTACACAGTTTTTGAACGCCTCCAGGGATGGTGACTCCACCACCTCCCTGGGCAGCCTGTGGCAATGCCTCAGCACTCTTACAGTAAAGAAATTCTTCCTAATATGCAATCTAAACAACTTAAGCCCTTTTCTTCTCATCCCATCACCAGTTACTTGGGAAAAGAGATCAATACCTACCTCAGTACAGCCTCCATTCATGTAGCTGTAGAGAGGCAAAAAGGTTCCCCCCCTCAGCTTCCTCTTCTCCAGACTAAACAATCCCAGGTCCCTCAGCCTCTCCTCACAAGTCATGTTACCCAGACCCTTCACTAGCTTTGTTGCCCTTCTCTGGGCCACTCCACCACCTCAATGTCTTTCTTATACTGTGGTAGTGGATACCAACTGCTCCTACCCTATACAAAAAGCAGTAATTGGCTGCCAGGGTAAAATCAGCCTAATAAAGTGCAGCGTGGTGGTTTGGGTTTTGTTTGTTTGGGTGTTTCCCCCTGCCCCCCCTCCAAGAAAGGCCATTTTGGATTTACCTCAAAAAATATCATGACCTGGTTGTCAGTTGCCAAAAGTTAGACTCTCCATCCCTCACAAATTTACTGTGACTAACAATGCTGTTTAAGAGTCTCAGGACAGCTATTCTGGGCTTACTGCCAAATATAATCAGGACTACATTTCTAAAACTCACCTTTCAGTATTAAAACACTACCTGTGTTTTGGTTATGGATCTCTCCCATATATACCTGCTTCTAGAAATTATTTTCTCCAAATGATTATATTTTGGACAATTATGGAAGCATGAGCAAATGGAAAATCAGTGCTGAGTAGATGATGGCAGGAACTTGTAGCAAGTCAACTATTCTGCACAAAATCACCACTGCGTAGGTGCTTGTGACTAACAGAAACCAGCTTATCCCTCTCAGAACTCACGGTTTAATTGGCCTGAGAGTTCCAAAAGCCAAAACTCTGAAGAATTCTGGAAAGTCTTGAGTTGTACAAAACTAACGGGCTTTTATGTCAACCAAATACATGTAAGTGCTCATTCCTAAGGAATGAAGTTTTAGGAGAAAAAAAAATCAGAACACAACAGCAGCATTAAACAAAAAAATCTGATATATTTACAGATGTATCCTTACTTGGTCAATGCCTCAGAGCAACTGAAGACAATAAAGGCAGCATAAGTTTCAGCATAGCAGACATGTCACAAAGCAGTAATGTCCCCATCACATGAACTCGGACTGCTGTAATGGCCAGTAACAAAAACATCTTCAGTGAGAAGTAGAAAGGGAAGCCTACTACACTTGGGGTAGGAGCTAAGTGTTCCCCTTCAGAAGGGGGAAACTAAGCTCAGGTCACATTGGGAGCAAATACCTCAGCAGAAGGATGACCTCAATCATGAATTTGAGAATCTTGTAACTTCCCAGCAGAAAAGAAAAAAACTTTGTAGCAGGTTATGAAGATAGCAGCTGTACTCCACAGAACTGAAGATCAAATCACTAGCTGCAGGTGCAGAAGCCTCCCCACAAAGATAATGGTCTTAGAGCAAGCTTACGGTGTCTGATGTCTTTCTTTCCACTCTAGAACCCACCCAGCACTATAAGGCTAAGCAAAAATCCTGCCTCTCTGGGCAAATGCGCTCATAAGGAGTGTGCAGAACTTCCGCCAGTGGAACGAGGCAGCAGCAGTGAGTGAACAGAGACCAAGAGCCAGCACCCTTCTTCCCCACTGCCGACCAAAAGGATCGTCCCTGTCTTGTGCCATACCTCTGATCTATTAATAACTCTGAAAGACTCATATCTCCTCCCTGGGATGGGCAGAAGATCAACCAAGGCTGCCTCACTGAGATTTTTAAGAGTATACAAGATGGTGGCCACAGTAGCTCAGCAGGCTGACAGATTTTCTTCACTGGGAAAGGAAATGGCAAAAAACCTGTCTGTTGATGTAGAAAACTATGGCTGGTCCAGAATAGTACACAATTTTAATGGCACAGAATAGAAACAAGATTTTTTTTGTCCATTGTAGACAAGGTACCCCAAATGAGATCTTTTCCAGAACAAGAAAAAAGCATATCAATGGATTGTTACCCAAGAACACAAAATTCCTCTAGGCAAAAGTAAACTCGGCACCTCAAACAAGTCTGTTCCAAGGCTGACTCAGAAAAACTTTGGTTTAAAAAGCAGCTCACATACACAACAAACAAAAACGCCTCACAAAGGCTTTTCAAATATAAGGAGACACATGGGATTCCTGTAAGAAGGTCTGCATCAATTTGGCAGGTCCAAGATATTTAACTAAAGAGGGCAATTTTAGTTTAAGTAAAAGAACCAAGTTTTACCACAAAGAAGAACTAGGAGTCCTGACTTTCTCTGGATTTGCCTGGCACTCCCTTTAACACTCCTCACCCAGTTTCATGTTCTCATCTCATTTAATTGGATTAGTGGCCAGTTTGCAGCCACATTCATGCTGACCAGTCCGCTGTCAGCTACCTGTTAGAGCAGGAATTTATTAAGGTCTCTCTCTTATGCCAAGCAAATATCAAAAAGGCCTGTAGGAAGTCAGTATCTAACACATCAAATGTGGCTGAAGACAGCAGAAGAAATCAAAAACAATATCCAGAAATAAATAAAAAATGAGGGCAAGGCAGCAAAATAAAAGTCTGGACAGGGCTCAGAGCTCTGTCCAACCTGACCTTGAATGTTTACAGGGATGGGGCATCTACCACCTCTCTGACCAATCCGTTCCCCTGTTTCGTCATAAAAAAAAATTCTTCCTTAGATCCAGTCTAAGTCTCTTTTAGCTTAAAACCTTTATCCTGTGTCATATCACAACAGGCCCTGCTAAAGAGACTGTCCCCGTCTCTCACACAGGCCCCCTTTAAATACCGAAAGGCCACAACAAGGTCTCCCAGAGCCTTCTCTTCTGAAGAACTCCAACTCTTTCAAGCCTCTCTCTGTAGCAGAGGTGTTCCAGCCCTCTGATAATTTCTGTGGCCCTCCTCTGGACCCGCTCTATCAGCTCCATGTCCTTCTTGTGTTGAGGACTCCAGGCATGGACACAGTACTCCAGGTGGGGTCTCACCAGAGTAAAGAGGCAGAATCACTTCCCTTCACCTGCTGGCCACACCACTTTTGATGCACCCCAGGATATAGTTGGGCCTTCTGGGCACATTGCTGGCTCATGTCCAGCTTTTCACCCACCAGTACCCCCCCCAAGTCCTTCTCTGCAGGGCTGCTCTCAATCCCTTCACACCCCAGCCTGTATTGATACCAGGAGTTGGCACCAACTGGGGTACAGGATCTTGCACTTGGCCTTTTTAAACCTCATGAGCTTCACATGGACTCACTTCCCAAGATTCTCCAGGTCCCTCTGGATGACATCCTTTTGCATGGCAACTACATCACACAGCTCGGTGTCATCTGCAAACTTGCTGAGGATGCACTTGATCCCCTTGCCTGTGTCACTGATGAAGATATTAAACAGCACAGGTCCTAGTAGGGACCCTGAGGGACACTATTTGTCACTGATCTCCATCTGGACATTGAGCCATTGACCACTGCCCTCTGGATGCAATGATCCAAACAATTTGTTATCCACCAAACAATCCACCCACCAAGTTCATCTCTCTCCAATTTAAAGCGAAGGATGTTAGGGGAGACCATGCCAAAGGCCTTACAGAAGTTTGCACAGAAGACATCCATTTCCACTGGGTATTTCCTCTAAATACTGCATCAGAACTGTTTTATCTTTGGCATATTATTGAGTCTCTGGAGAAAGATTATTGCAACTCTCCATTTCCGTGTCAATTTGTACACAACACGTCCAGTCTATTTTTGGGTGGAACAAGAAATCAAGTCTCAGTTAAAAGTAGAAAAACGAAAGACATAAATTGATTTAAAGGCACCTTTTCTTCAAGCTGAACTTTTATATTTCATCTCATTACAAAAATCCAAGCTGTGTCAGCAAATGAGCACAAGACTCTAGCACTGTTTCTCTTGCGTTTGCAAGAGGGCAAAGCACATAGATCAGAAAGAACACCCTGCTAATTAAACTGAAGCAGATGACTAAAGAAGAGAAGAGCTTGTCATACGGAATATCTACGTCAAAAACCATCAGATTAAATATGCAAAATGTGAAGTAAAGGTGGATAACAGCATTAAGCTCACATTCTAGATCTTGGACAGGCTGCAAAAGTTCTGACATTTTCTCTAATTATTCACAGTAATGGACATCAGGGGCAAAAGGCAGGAGGTAGAAATACATTTTTCTCCATTACAGGTGCTGAGCACCAGGGCTAAAATCATGCCTGTCTGAACACTGATCAGTTTCTGCAAAGGTTAATAGCAATTAAATGTGGCAAACTAGACTAAATGAGAAACGGGTCATGATACTGCTGTACTTGCAAAGAGCACAATACTCTGCAGAAAGGTATCGTTTAATCTTTTCAAAGGTGCAAAAGTACTTGGAATAAGGAGGAGTAATAAGTCTGTTCCTGTTCAAATGAAGACACATAGTCCAGTTCAGTACAGAAGCCTATTTTTTTTTTTACACCACAACATGCAAGTTAACTGCCCTAGAAAGAAAAGCTAACCAGTTTCCACTTAAAACACAAAGCCCTAAAAAAGAAATTGGTGAAAATCTGTCACTTCCAGTTTAATCACCTTTAGGTACCAGTCAATTAGCTCTTCCAAATACATGTCTTAACAGCAAAAAAACATTCAAAACAGAAATTATTAAAAGCAGATTTGCAAAAGACAGAACAAAACATTAATATATTACAATGCAAGACAAATTCTTCATTCAGCATTTAAACCGAGAATCCTGCTATCAGAACCCTTTTAATTTTTCATTTGTTATGTTATAATTTAGTTCCTACATACAAATTATAAAAAAGAGGAAGAAATGGCTACATTTTGAGCCTTCATTCTACCACACAGGAGAGAAAAAAAACAAAATCAGAATGAGGTTATTTGGATTTTTTCATATTAGTATTTAAAAAGATTAAAAAGCTACTATCCTAATACCAAAATAAGCTGTCAATAACTCAAGAGGCTGGGGAAACAAGAATATTATCATCCATTGATAAGCAGAGCTTTCTCCTTCAAAGCAACCAAAATTCACCTAAAACATTCAGGAAAAAGAAAGATCAAGTCTGTATTTACATAGCAGTAAATCAGGCTTATGAGATACCGCAAATCTATGTACACCTCTTGATAACTCATTAGTAAGCATAGCAAGGAAAATGAATTAATAAAAGAGGTAACTTGCATTGTTATCCTGAGGATCTTCTAAACCATCAGGCCGGCTAAGATTGCGTGAAGGCTGGCTACACACTACATCATCTTCTAGCTCCCAGAAGGAAGTTCTAACAGGTGGCCTCTGGATCTCATCAGGATTAAAAGCACCATCTGCTCCATCTGAAGAAAAATTAATTAGAGAGCATCTCTGTTCAGTACAGTTTGTATTTTGAGATTACAGATGTGCTACCGTATGTCTAAAAAAGCAAGACTTAAACACATTGGTTTAGATAATATAAAATAATAGAAAACACCTTTTTAAAAAGGTGTTCCTAAAAGCTTTCAGCTTTTGATTCTCATCAGTAAAAAAAAAAAAAGGTCTTTATTGATTATCATCACTCCGTAAAGGCTCTGTACACCAGCATAAAGATGACTTAACCTGCATTAAACGAGCCATTGCTTTTGATACAGCGAGAGAAAAATTATATTGAGGGGGTGGTGTGGAACTTGCTTGCCTCTTCTTTCCTGGGCCGCATAAGGGTTTCCATATTGCAACACGGGCAGTCTGCTTGGCACTGCAGGAACTGGTCCATTTTCTTCCGAATATGGGTTGCGAAAATGTGATGCCTGTTGTGACATCTGTCCTTCCATCATCCTTCCAGCTTGATTGCCTGGTGTCCTGCCAAGTTCCTAAATAATGCAAAGATTAAAATGCAATTAACCTAGGGAGTCCTACCAATGTTTGCAATTTTTATGAAATATTTAGATTTGGTTTTTAAAAAAATATATCTGCTAATCTTCCCATTGTTTTTTCACCTTGATTTAGTGCCAAATATACCATACATACAAAAAATAGTAAAGAGAAGAAAATAAGAAAGAATCATTGGTATTTTAATTTTTTTTTTTCCTCTCACTGTCATCAATTAATTTGAATTACAGAAACACTACCACCACATTTTTCAAGAAATATCTGCATTCTTTTTACAATGAACAAAAATCAGTTACATAAGTAAAGAATGGGCTGATTAACAGCAACGACCTAAGATAATGTGCAGAGAGAAAAGTTTGTTACAATTAAAACTATTTTTTTTTTTTTTCATATCACACCATACCATTCAAGAATGTACCATTGTAGTATGTGACATAGACATATGTACAACATATGAAAACAAGTGAGAAAAGGTTTCTCCTGTCAAGGCCAGAATGGGCTCCAGCAGGTATGACAACTCTATCAAAATTCCAGGCAGGATTTTTAAGAGGAGACCACATTACAGATACTTTACATAAACACAATTTAGGCAAACACTGGGATAAAAATTTACAGTTTTAGCAAAGGTTTGTGTGTAGCGTTCTTCCAAAAATTCAGTTTTTTAATCCAAAATGTAAAATTGTTGAATTTGAGGGTCTTAAATGGCCTCCTTTATTTAAATCTGTTCTTTAAATATTTGTATCAGAAAGGTGATGAATTCTTTCAGGAAAGCTCAAACAGAACTCTTTAAAAAGTTAACATACTTAAAATTCTAGATCCTTTCATATAACCCAAAAATATAATTATGAAGTACTAAAGGGGTTTTATAACTTCTAAACCGTTAAAACTCTAAGCCAATATATAATAAAACACAATAATTAAAGTGACTTCAATGTGAACAAAGCATTGCTGTAAAGAAAAAGACAACAATAACGAAAGTCTTTATTTTATAAATGGAAGGCTGAGGGAGAGAGAGCACACGTATCAAGAATATCCAAAGGAATACGCCACCTACAATTCAGAACCACGAAAAAGTTTGAGATGTAAAAATGAAAATTTTTAAAATAGAGATTAAGAGAGATGCTTTCCAATAATTTCGTTCTTTTAGGTTAGCATTTTCTTCTTCTGGGTTCACGTTTAATATTTGCTAATGCAACATTAGCAAAAACCTCAAAGTGTGCCTTTTCCCCAAAAGATTTTGACTTTAAACTTAAAACCAAGATTTCAACTACTTAACTACATGAAAAATAAAATCTCTTAGTTATTTTTCTTAAAAACAAGTATATTCAGCCAAAACTCAAGTACACAAAAATGCAAAAATTTAGTAGCAGTAACTACTCTGAAAACAGAACACCACTCAAATGAAAAAAGACAGAATTTATACACTTATTTTTATATACATACTTTCAGGTTTCAGACATAAAAGGTTTAGCCTGCACCAGCAACAAACTCATTTTCAACCAGAAAAAGGTGGTATCTACAAATGGTAAAGCAGTCTGCAGAAAGTTATCTTTTTTGGAGCACTGGCTGTAAACACAATAAAGTTTCTTTTCTTTTAGGAAAACCTTTTACTATAGGACAATATAATTTTTGCCCAACACGCTCCAAGTAAAAAATACTCCTGTAGATATGATATAAAATTATGCTAACATTACTTTAAATTTATAGACTAAATTGCACATGACTGAAATGGTTAGGGTTAAATGGTTAGCACTACATCCTAAAGTTTTAGTGAGCATATAAAATCTAAATAATTCACCTTTACTCAAAACAAAGCAGGAACAATTAATTATCAGTGAAATTAAGATTTTCCTTTTTAAAATCAATTTCTTCTGCAATATGAAGGCAGTTTAGAATGAGAGGCAGTGGCATTAATACTTTAATTTTAGCATCGTCTAAGATTAAAAAGAATGTAGATCAAAGTGACTGTAAAAAGGTGCTGTAAAATACCTTTAGCCAGAAGTTGGATAGCTAGGGTAGAAACTGCTTAAAAAAAATATATCAAAGGCTATATGTAAGTATGTAGAAAGCAAGTAATTTTATAGGTTTGAAGAGACAGCAAATGAACATTTTTAGCATGCTATGTTTGGTGACATTTATAAACAAACACTGATAATGGAGTATAAATTGAAAAGCTGTTTACTATACTGTGCTTAACCTTTTAAATCATGGTTCCAGTCTCACGAGGCACTTTGATGCTTCTTTGTAATGTAAATATCTATAAATTGGGTAGACAAAGATCCAAGCTTTTATAAGCTCCATACATTATTACTACAGTTGTTCTTCTTGTGTGGTGTTTAAAATTACTCCCTCCAGCTAAGCTAGATGCATCAGAACTCAAATTTCTTTTGCATTAAAAAAATAAAAGAAAGATTAAAAATACAACTGTGGTTAAAAAGATCATTTAAATACCGACCACTTGAGAATCTATAAGTTTGCAAAGCACTTAACCAGCTTAATCTGAAATTAGTTTAATTGCAATTTACCAGAATGCTTTTTTTTTTAACAAGTATCTGTTCATACTGCATTTTTTAAGTTACCTGAACAATCCTCACCTTTCCACAATATCATGCAATACTATCTGAATGTAGTAAAGACATGTTATTTCACTTTTCAGTAAAACCTAGCTTTGATTAATTGCTATGTAATACCACAGATGTACTTCCAACATCGGAACATTAGCATTAATATTTCAGAATGTCTGGTTTAACAGTAATGATAATGAATTTGATTAGACAGTGGATTCCTGAAAGCAGCAGTCCGTTTTTTATCACATATTTAAAAATCAGACTGTGTATCTTTCTTGTACAATAAAGACATTCTTCCAATTGTAGATTAGTGTTGTGGTTTGAGGCT